GTGGGGCAGCTGCCCCACAGCACTGGGGAGGGTGTTTGTCTGTCTTCATGACTGGGGGCAGGGATGAGCAGGTGAGTGATGAGACAGGGATCTGGGAAGTGAGTAGGGGTGCTTGGGGGATATGACATCTGGGAGAGGTGAAGAGGAGGCCTCGAGGAGTAGATATGGAGGGAGGAGGGAATCTGGGGGACAAGGTGTCAGGAGGTGATGAGGGGTGCAGTGTGGGAGGACTGGGGTGTGGAGATGAGGAGGTGAGGGGATTCTGGGGGATACCAGGAGGGGTCTGGAGATAGGGAAGGAGTGTCTGGAGTAGAGGAGGGAGGTTCTAGGGATCCTGAGATAACACCAGATTTCTGGGGGGTCCTTTTTGGAATCAGGGACCCACCATGGTGCCTGTGCATCTTCTGCACACCTCCATCCATGCAGTGTAGCTTATGGGGTGTGTGGGCTCAGTGTGTGAGAGACACAGGGTGTGACTTTGTGTTCCTGTATGTGAAAGAGTACAAAGTGTGTAACTGTGAGCCTGTGTATGGAACAGGGATGTGACTGTATGTGTGAGAGTGACAGGGCATGTGGCTTTGTGAGAAGGTGGATGTGGCCAGGCCTGAGTGGCACAGTGTGTGGCTGAGCCTGTTTGGGTATCAGGTGGTGCATATGGCTGTTTCCAGAGTTTCCTGAGGATATACCAGCTCCATACCCAAGGCTTAGGAGGAGGTGGGTTCTGGAGGGAAGAGTGTGAACATTGTGAAGGAGACATTTATAGCCCAGCTCTGATTGGGTTTGAGGAGTGGATCAGATCAGGGACCCTACTTCCCAAGCCCCCTTGCCTCTCCAGGCTCCTATCAGGATCCAAGTGCAGAATGGTCTCCAGGGCCTAGACACTGGGAGTGGAAAATCAACTCCCCTCCCCACCCCACCTGAAAGTCAGTAAGGAGAGTAATATTGAGGTGGAGAGGAGAGCACTTCTGCCTCCCCCTTGGGAGTTTTGACCTCCCCCTCCTCTTCACAGCTAGAACTGTGTAACTCCATAGCATGGCTGTTCCCCAGTGCCACCAGGGACAGGAAGACAGACTAGAACCATGACGGAGGACTGCAGGGTAGATACCTGGAAGAACTGGAAAAATATGAAGGAAGCTGGGAACAAGAGAAGGTGCATGAATTGCCTGCTCTAGGGTTCAGTAAGAGTAGAAAACTCTTAGCTCACCCTCCATCCTCTGCTGCATTTATTAGGGTGGAGTGGGGAACAGGGAGCTGGACCTAGATGAACTGGGACAGCTGGGCTGAGCTTGTTCTCATTCAATCTGGAAAAGGTGAAATTGATTGAGTTCTAACTTGCCATTCATTTTAGATGGGAAAGGGGAAAGAGGGGGCATCTGGGAATCCCAGGCGCTTTGGGCTGAAGGCAGCCATTCTTTTCTCACCTTTAGAGGAGACAGAGGCTTGGAAACAGGGGGCTGGGGTGGGGGGCAGGAGAGCCACCCCGAGTTGGGCGACTACACCATTGGAGGCTCCAGGCGCATTCCGGCTTCGGGAAACCAGAGTTCAGGCTAATGGAGCCCTGGGCCGGAGGCCAGGCCTCCATCGATCCCCCTGCCTGGCCCACCACCTCCCTCCCACCTCTCCATGGCTTCTGGGGTGGGAGGGAGGTAAGGATGTGTTGAAGTAGAGGAGGTGGTTACTCACCCAGTTACCTCCTGGTAAGGGGGCCTGGTCTGAAGGGTGAAGCCTGGATTGGGAGGGTGGGGTATATGGAGAGGGAGTAACCTTTAAAGGAAGTTGGACCCCTCCAGGAATGGACTGAGGCCAACTTTAGCCACTGTGTCAGATCCAGTGGGCTCTGACCTAGGAATCTGGATGCACACAGACACACAGACACACACACACACACACACACACACAGAGTAACACTGAGGGTCCTCTGGGGGTGCAATTAGAGCTGTAGAAAATGTGCAGAAATAAGGGGAGAAGAAGGGAAGGGGAGCCATGATCAGTGGGCCCTGGATAGCCCCACAATAGACCAGAATACTCCCCTCCAAGATCTCTTATTGCCTCAAAGTTTACTATTATTTCACCCTCAAAGAGCAAGCATACTGGAAAAGACTGTGAAGGGGCCGCAGTTTAGGGTAGATGAGTTAGCTGATGAGGAACCCTGCCCTTTGGCAGAAAGATTCTGGGCGCCTTGGAATGAGGAGGGGTTATAGGAAAGAAAAGTGGGTGTACCCAGGAAAAATAGATATCTGGATGCCATGGGGACCCAGGTCACAGTGTGATATGGGTAAGTGTCATGACAACCTTGATAGGTATAATGTTATAAGGTCACAATGTCATAGTGTTCTTTGTAGACTCACGTGTCATGATGTCCCAGAGGCATTGTGTGTTCTTGTGTGGTTTGATCATGCTGTGTGTGAGATGGCCTGTATGGGTCTCCATGTGTGTGCACCCTGTTTTACTTAGGTCACATTTGTATTTGTTTCTTAAGGAGTAGCAGTTCATTGTGTGTGTGTGTGTGTGTGTGTGTGTGTGTGTGTGTGTGTGTGTTGGAGCATACATATTAGACCATCAGGTGTGAGTTACTGGATATCAAGCTATCACTGGCACCCATGACTGTGATGTATTGCTCTACATGTCACTATACACGCCTGTCACTATAGGTATGTGTATGAGAGAAGTGTTCTTACCCAGGCAATCCTTGAGTTGGACATCATCCTGAGAGGTCCAGCCATGGCACTTGAGCCAAGGGTACTAAGTCAGCAAAGACACTGAGGCCACTGCCACCTCATCCTTGCTGCCTTGCTGTCATCCGCCACGTCCCATTAAACAAAGTGCCGAAGCCTCACCTCTATGGACCCACTGGGCTCCCCTAACCCAATTCCAACCACCCTTGCCATTCTTTTCCTCCCCCTTAATTCCTCCCCCAGCCCCATCCCCAGATGGGGTTGATTTGGTGGGGAGGGGACAGGGAACAGAGGGACAATGGGAGTTAATGCACCTTCCCGGGGTCTTCTCTCTTCCCAGGCCACCCTCCAGGGCCCACTAAAAAAGCGCTGAAGCAGCGATTCCTCAAGCTGCTGCCTTGCTGCGGGCCCCAAGCCCTGCCCTCAGTCAGTGAAAGCAAGTGCCTCTCATGTGCTTCCGGGGGCGGGGCCTGATGTGTGCGTGCGTGTGTGTGCGTGCGTGCGTGCCCCAGGCCTACGCGTGTGTGTGCACGTGTGCCCCAGGCCTGCGTGTGTGCGCGTGCTCCAGGCCTGCATGTGTGTATGTGGGGGGGAGGGCGTGCCCCAGGTCTGCGTGTGTGGGGATGGTGCATGCCACAGGCCTGCGTGTGTGTGCGCGCGTGCTCCAGGCCTGTGTGTGTGTGTGCGCGTGTGTGAGCGTGCTCCAGGCCTGTGTGTGTGTGGGGGTGTGCCCCAGCCCTGCGTGTGTGTGGAGGGCATGCCCCAGGCCCGTGCGTGTGTTGGCGGGGAGACGTGCCCCAGGCCTGCGTGTGGAGGAGGGGGGTGCCCCAGGCCTGCGTGTGTGTGTTGGGGGGCGCATGACCAGCGTGGTGGGGGTGGGGGGGTGGGTGCTGGCTGGGCTGCAGCATAAGGGGGCGTGGCTGCCGTGCTGATATGCGACTGAAGCTAGCGTGTGTGGGCGTGGTCAGTTGGGGGCGGGGCCCGAGCGTGTGTGGGTGTCACTGCTCCCGCAAAGCTGTGGGACCCGACAGTGTGGGTGTGACCAGTGTGACCAGGCTGAGGCCTGAGCCTGTGTAGCTGTGGCGAGACCAGGCGACCGTGAGGGTCCGTATGTGGCTTAGCTGGATTAGTGTCTTCAACTCCGTGCGGCCGCCCCCTTCCCCACTGTATTTTGGAACTCTGATGTGTGTTGCCTATGCCCCGACAGGATGGTGACAGGTGTAGAGGATGGTGCCTGCCCTCCTTCAGACACCAGGGTATTTGGGTTTTCTATCCCAGCCTGGTCCCCTGCTGAGTGATCTCGAGTTGAGTGACCTCGCTTTGTCTCTAGGTCTCCGTTTCCTTAGTTGGGCCTTGCCTACCTCATAAGATCATACTGCATTTTGCAAACCATAAAGGCCCGCCTTGTAGTTATTTGAGCGTGCTGTTGTGTTGGACATAGATGGGTCCCACACGTGGGTCGGAAAAGGACAGGCGTGAGTCCCGCAAGCTTGTGTGCATGGGTCCGTTTCATGTGTGTCTGTGCTGGTTGGGTGTGCCTTCGCGCGGGCTGGGGTGTGAGGTTTGCTCTGAGTGTGAGGGGCCAGGTGTGTGTCTGCAGTTGGCCGGGTCTTCCGCTTTCTCGGTGACAGTTCGCTCCCTTCAGCATTAGCCGCCCCAGCCTCCCTCCGCCCCCACAGACCCCGCCTGCTGGACCCAGGTGACTTACGCTCCTGGTGGGGGCGGGGCAGGGCGGGGCAGGGCGGCTTTGCCATCTTGGGGTGGGGGGCTCTTGCCTGGGGGCTGGATATTGGGGCCGGGGCGGGACTGAGTTGGGGTCGGGGGTGGGGTCTGGATGTAGGTTGGCTGAGCTGGGCGGGGCATGGCTTAGGCATGGCTGGGATAGATGGGGCTGGGCTGGGCGAGGGGAGGGGGTTGGGCGGGGCAAGGCCGGGGCTGGGCGGATCTGAGTTGGTCCTCGAAGGCCCGGAGCTCCTACCCTTAGATGCCCCCTCTTGAACGCGCTTTTCCCACTCCTCCCTTTCTGAAACGAAGATGCAGCTGGGGGCCTTCCCCTCCAAACAGGGATCCAGGGCCCAGGGGCGAGCACTGAGTCGGATCCCCGGCTCTGGGGCCAGGCCAGGCCTTGAACTGCTGATAGACCTCGAAGATAGCCAGCATCTTTTCTCCTTGCCTCAGTGTTCTCGGCTCGGGGCCTAGGGAACTGGCAGCCTGGTCTCTAGCATCGGATGGGACCGGGGGCGGGGAGGGGGTGAATGGGTCAGTGATTTGAAGATGGGTCGCGGAGGCCGGGCCTGAGGCGCAGCTGTCCTCACCGCTCCGCAGACAGCGTGGAGGATGAATTTGAATTGTCCACCGTGTGTCACCGGCCTGAGGGTCTAGAGCAGCTGCAGGAGCAAACCAAATTCACGCGCAAGGAGTTGCAGGTCCTGTACCGGGGCTTCAAGAACGTGAGTGCAAGGCGAGGCCAAACTCAGGGTGGGAACAGGAGGACCCAAGCCGGTCCACAGCTTCCCAGAAAGCATGGCTTGGATGCTTGAGGTGCTGGGTGGAAGGGAGGCAAGGCCCTGAGATTGAACTTCTAGCTGGTGGTTCTGGGGCGGGGCCGGAACGGAAGCGGCGCCTGTAGACTGTCAGTTTCGTTCCATGTTTTTTATTTGTGCACTGGGAAAGAAGTCTTGCCTCCCATCACATGAGCCACGTGGTGAGTCCTCTGGAGGCTTGAAGATTATCCCCCTCCCTGGGAGTCTTGGGCCATGGAGGGTGGGGGTGGTGAATAGAAGGGGATTTTGTCTCTGCCCTCAGCCTGGTGCCCTCTCTCCTTCCAGGAATGTCCCAGCGGAATTGTCAATGAGGAGAACTTCAAGCAAATTTACTCCCAGTTCTTTCCTCAAGGAGGTGAGGGGACAAGGCGCAAAGGGCAGCAGCTGTCCTTCTCTAGGCTGAGGGAGGGAGGGATTCTGGAGGGGCTGGGAATGCCAAGGTGATGGGGGGTATGGGGAGCTCCATAGAGGGAGGAAGTCCTCTCCTGTGTGGAAGCCAACTTCTCCACACTCACCCTGCAGACTCCAGCACCTATGCCACTTTTCTCTTCAATGCCTTTGACACCAACCATGATGGCTCGGTCAGTTTTGAGGTGAGCTGGGCGAGGTGGGCCAGGGAAGCCTGTTTCCTGGACTTCAGGGCCAGGATCTCCAGGCCAAACCCAGGGAAGGGGTTGGGTGAAGAGTACCTGAAGACACAGCTCCCTCCTGCCTCCTTCCCAGGACTTTGTGGCTGGTTTGTCTGTGATTCTTCGGGGAACTGTAGATGACAGGCTTAATTGGGCCTTCAACTTGTATGACCTCAACAAGGACGGCTGCATCACCAAGGAGGTGCAGGGCAACTGAAGGGCTGGGGGGCTGTGGCACTAATGGGGGTGGTGTGCAGAGGGTGATGGGAGGGAAATATGACCCATATATGCCCACAAGCAAGGGATCAAGGGAGGCTGGAGGCTCTGAGGAAGCATCCTCTTCTCTCTTGGCCTAACAGGAAATGCTTGACATCATGAAGTCCATCTATGACATGATGGGCAAGTACACATACCCTGCACTCCGGGAGGAGGCCCCAAGGGAACATGTGGAGAACTTCTTCCAGGTACTTGGGACTGGGTAGGCTGGAGGGCCCTGGAGTGAAGAGAAGGAGGCCAAGAACCAGCAGGGAACTCACCTGACTTCTGTCTGCCTCTCTTGCCATCCCTCCTGTTCTCCCTGCCTGACCACCTTCTTGCAGAAGATGGACAGAAACAAGGATGGCGTGGTGACCATTGAGGAATTCATTGAGTCTTGTCAAAAGGTACAGCTCCCTGCCCTCTACATTACCCTGACCTGGACTCAGGCCTGATTTAGTAATGTAGGGAAAAACTTCTTTGGGCAGAATACCACCTCCCCACCTCACCCCCACATTTCAATCCTATTCCTTTGTGGGAGGCTTACCCCTTCCCTACCTCAGGTCTCTCTGGGCATCTCCTTCCTCTGTGCCTTTGAATGTCCCCATCTGTGACTCAGTGTCCCTCTCCCTGTCTCTGATAAGCTCCTTCTCTTTCTGTCTCTTCAATCTGCGTCGCTCACACCATGGCCACAGGATGAGAACATCATGAGGTCCATGCAGCTCTTTGACAATGTCATCTAGCCCCCAGGAGAGGGGGTCAGTGTTTCCTGGGGGGACCATGCTCTAACCCTAGTCCAGGTGGACCTCACCCTTCTCTTCCCAGGTCTATCCTTGTCCTAGGCTTCCCTGGGGGCTGGAGGGATCCAAGAGCTTGGGGATTCAGTAGTCCAGATCTCTGGAGCTGAAGGGGCCAGAGAGTGGGCAGAGTGCATCTTGGGGGGTGTTCCCAACTCCCACCAGCTCTCACCCGCTTCCTGCCTGACACCCAGTGTTGAGAGTGCCCCTCCTGTAGGAACTGAGTGGTTCCCCACCTCCTACCCCCACTCTAGAAACACACTAGACAGATGTCTCCTGCTATGGTGCTTCCCCCATCCCTGACTTCATAAACATTTCCCCTAAAACTCCCTTCTCAGAGAGAATGCTCCATTCTTGGCACTGGCTGGCTTCTCAGACCAGCCTTTGAGAGCCCTGTGGGAGGGGGACAAGAATGTATAGGGAGAAATCTTGGGCCTGAGTCAATGGATAGGTCCTAGGAGGTGGCTGGGGTTGAGAATAGAAAGGCCTGGACACAATGTGATTGCTCAGGCATACCAGGTTATAGCTCCAAGTTCCACAGGTCTGCTACCACAGGCCATCAAAATATAAGTTTCCAGGCTTTGCAGAAGACCTTGTCTCCTTGGAAATGCCCCAGAAACTTTCCATACCCTCCTCGATATCCATGGAGAGCCTGGGGCTAGATATCTGGCATATCCCTGGCATTGCTTCCTCTCCTTCCTTCCTGCATGTGTTGGTGGTGGTTGTGGCAGGGGAATGTGGATAGCAGATGTCCTGGCTGATGCCTGCCAAAGTTTCATCCCACCCTCCCTGCTCATCGTCCCTGTTTTGAGGGCTATGACTTGAGTTTTTTTTTCCCATGTTCTCTATAGACTTGGGACCTTCCTGAACTTGGGGCCTATCACTCCCCACAGTGGATGCCTTAGAAGGGAGAGGGAAGGAGGGAGGCAGGCATAGCATCTGAACCCAGTGTGGGGGCATTCACTAGGATCTTCAATCAACCCGGGCTCTCCCCAACCCCCCAGATAACCTTCTCAGTTCCCTAGAGTCTCCTCTTGCTCTACTCAATCTACCCAGAGATGCCCCTTAGCACACTCAGAGGGCAGGGACCATAGGACCCAGGTTCCAACCCCATTGTCAGCACCCCAGCCATGCTGCCATCCCTTAGCACACCTGCTCGTCCCATTCAGCTTACCCTCCCAGTCGGCCAGAATCTGAGGGGAGGGCCCCCAGAAAGCCCCCTTCCCCATCAGAAGACTGTTGACTGCTTTGCATTTTGGGCTCTTCTATATATTTTGTAAAATAAGAACTATACCAGATCTAATAAAACACAATGGCTATGCACAGCCTGCCGTCTCTGCCTTTTGTCCCTCCCACCTACAAATACTACACAACCCCTAACTCATGCACCTGCAGCCTTTTAGATCCCCAAGAAAGTGGCTTTCTTTTCCATAGTTGGCCATACCTTGGCATGAGACTGAGACATAGGCTCTGGAATGGTTGGAAACCCACCGAACCTCAGGCCCCCACATGAATCTCCCTCCCACACAGCCTGAGAGGAGACAAGGAAGGAAGGACAGGACACTGATGTCCCAAAGACTGTGCCAAGCAAGCTGTTTTTTAGCTGACATTCTTATAAGTTGAATCACAGATTTCTAATTTACAGACTTTTTAGTTAATCTCAAAGTGCTTTCTTTTGAGGGGGCTCCCTTTACTTTTTTTCTTCTTCTTTTTTTTTTTTTTTTTTTTTTTTGAGATGGAGTCTCTCTCTTTCGCCCAGGCTAGAGTGCAGTGGCCAGATCTCGGCTTTACTGCAGCCTCCGCTTCCTGGGTTCAAGCCGTTCTCCTGCGTCAGCTTCCCGAACAGCTGGGATTACAGGCGTGCGCTGCTATGCCCGGCTTATTTTTGTATTTTTAGTAGAGACAGAGTTTTCACCATGATGGCCAGGCTGGTCTCGAACTCCTGACCTCATGTGATCTGCCTGCCTGTGCATCCCAAAGTGCTGGTTCCAGGCGTGAGCCACCGTGCACAGCCCCTCCCTTTAGTTTCTAATGAAAGTTCCTTTGTGTCAATATTCCAACCTTGCCTCCAGTATAGATAAATATTTTTTTGTGTCCATACCCCAGCCAGGAATGATGGGGGAATGAGATGGAGTGGACCCAGTGCAGGTCACCATGAGGCAGATGGCACAAAGGATGACACGGACTTTGTGTGTTCCCACTCTTTCTTTCTTCTGTGTTCTGCTCTTGCAGAGGGACCCACCAATGGTAGGTTCCTCTCCTCCTTTCTCTGGGTCACCATTATGTGGTGACTAAGTTTCACCATCCATAGCGGAGTATCAGGCCTTCTCCTCCCTCATGACAAAGTCAACGGGAGGGATATGTTGTCCAAGAAGCAAAAACTCACTTTTAGCGTCCATTGTTTTATCATCTGTGTTCCCTGCTTATATCATCAAAGAACCATCTGCTCCTTGGGTCCTTGGGTTTCTTTGAGTCGTTAGCATAAAGATCTGATAAAAGCTGTGGGTCCATTATCCAGAAGAAAGAAAAAAAAATGCAAGAATTCCCATGCATTTTTGTATCCCTTTAGCTCATCTAAGGGGTCCTAAGTTAAGAACCTGTGATCTAGAGCGAGTGCAGCGGCTCATGCCTGTAATCCCAGCACTTTGGAAGGCTGAGGTGGGTGGATCACTTGAGGTCAGGAGTTCAAGACCAGTCTGGCCAACATAGTGAAACCCAGTCTCTACTAAAAATACAAAATTAGCTGGGCATGGTGGCACATGCTTGTAATCTCAGTTGCTTGGGAGGCTGAGGCCAGAGAATTGCCTGAAGTGGAAAGCGGAGGTTGCAGTGAGCCAAGATGGCACCACTGCACTCCAGCCTGGGCAATAAAGTGAGACTCTGTCTCAAAAAAAAAAAAAAAAGGAACATGTGATCTAGTCTAACTCTCCATTTTATAGAAGCAGCAGGCTCAGAGAAGGGAGACTTGCTCAAAGTCACTCAGTGAGTTTGTAGCAGGACTGAGACTAGACTCAATCCCTCAAGTCTGTCAGCAGTGGCCTTTGGGCACAGAAAAGAGTCGTATGTGGGCTGGGTGTGGTGGCTCACGCCTGCAATCCCAGCACTTTGCGAGGCTGAGGCGGGCGGATCGCAAGGTCAGGAGATCCAGACCATCCTGGCTAACACGGTGAAACCCTGTCTCTACTAAAAATACAAAAAATTAGCCAGGTGTGGTGGCGGGCGCCTGTAGTCCCAGCTACTTGGGAGGTTGAGGCAGGAGAATGGTGTGAACCCGGGAGGCAGAGCCGGCAGTGAGCTGAGATTGATCGCGCCACTGCGCTCCAGCCTGGGCGACAGAGCGAGACTCTGTCTCAAAAAAAAAAAAAAAAAAAAAAAAAAGAGTTGTATGTGAAGGGTTGGATGCTGTGCATGTTATGCATAATCCAAGCAAAGGATTGTGCAGGCTGTGACAGGCTCTCATGATGCCCTCTGCTTTTCCTTTATGGCACTTCTCAGTTTGTAACCATATACTTACTTGGGTAATTATTTACTTGTCTTCTCCTATACACTGTAAGTTCCTGAGGGCTCCCTGAGTGCCTGGACTAGGGTTTTTTTCTTCACCATCTTATTCTTGAGGCCTGGCACATAATAGGCCTTCAGTAAATAATAGTGGATGAAAGGACATGGTGAATGTGTGTATATAATTACATAGGTATGGAGACACTTGTTTTTCTTTTGTTTGAGACTGGGTCTCACAATCTCAGCTCACTGCAACCTCCACCTCCCAGGTTCAGGTGATCCTCCCACCCCAGGCTCCCAAGTAGCTGGGACCACAGGTGTGCACCACCATGCCTGGCTAATTTTTTGCATTTTTGGTAGAGACAGAGTTTCACCACATTGCTCAGGCTGGTCTCGAACTTCTGAGCTCGAGCAATTTGCCCACCTCCGCCTCCCAAAGTGCTGAGATTACAGATGTGAGCCACCATGCCTGGCCCAGTTTCCATTTTCGAAGGTAGATTCAAGTTTAGTGGAATTGAAGCAGAGAACTGCTAGTAAGCTAAGAAGTGCCCCAGAGCCCAAGCCTACAGATGAGATCCAGAAAAAAACAGTAGGTTGGCATTCAGATTGTTGCCCAGGCTGGAGTGCAGGAGAGTGATCTCTGCTCACTGCAACCTCCGCCTTCCAGGTTCAAGCGATTCCCCTGCCTCAGCCTCCGAGTAGCTGGGATTATAAGCACATGCCGCCATGCCCGGCTAACTTTTATATTTTTAGTAGAGATGGGGTTTCGCCATATTGGTCAGGCTGGTCTCAAACTCCTGATCTCAGGCGATCCACCCACCTCAGCCTCCCAAAGTGCTGGCATTACAGGTGTGAGCCACCACGCCAGCTTCAGGTTATTTCATCTTGGCCATTGGTTGGGTTCTGAATGTTGTCAGCTGCTCCATCTCAAAATACTCTCCTTTCTTGCCTTCCAGTATTTCCTACTCTCCTGGTTTTCCTCTGGCCCTTCTGGCTACTCTTTCTCAGCCCTCCCTTATAGACTCATCCTTCTCAACTTGAGTTTTAAATCTTAGGCCCCACAGCTCAGACCTAAGCCTCTTTTCCAAACCACCCCTAATCCCATGGCTTTAAACACCATCGATATGCAGAGGCTCCTAAGTTTATATCTCCAGAACTCTCTCTTCTGAAATCCAAAACCTATCTATCCAATTGCCTTTTTTTTTTTTTTTTCCTGTCATCCAGGCTGGAGTACAGTGGTGCAATCATAGCTCACTGCAGCCTCAAACTCCTGGGCTCCAGTGATCCTCCCACCTCAGCCTCCAGAGTAACTAGGACTACAAGTGTGTGCCACCCACACCCCACTAATGTTTTAATTTTTTGTAGAGATGGGGTCTTACTATGTTGCCCAGGTTGCTCTTTAACTCCTGGGCTCAAGTGATCCTCCTCTAGTCTCAGCTTCCCAAAGTGCTGAGATTACAGAAATGAGCCACTGTGCCTAGTCCAATTGCCTATTTGATATATTAATGTGGATCTGTAATGGTTAAACTTAACATGTTCAAAATGGAGCTTAGATTCATGCCTTTCCAGTCTTTCCCATCTCAGTAAATGATACCAACATTCATCTAGTTGCTCAGGTCAAAATTTAGAAGTCTTCATTTCTTCCTCTCCTTCATTCTCCCTCCACCCCCATTTAATCAATCACCAATTCCACCACCAAAGGTACACCACCTCTCTCTGTCTCTGATGCTGTTTCCTAGCCCAAGCTACTATCACTACTCACCTAAATTACTCCTTCCTATTTGTCCGTCTGAAGTAGCTCCTTGATGCAGTTGGTAGGTTTCTTCCCTTCATAGCCCTTACCACAAACTGTGAGTTCCTATGTGTGTACTGAATTTGTTATTGTCTGGTTCTCCAAACAGAATATAAAATCTGTGAGGGCAGGGTCCTCTCTCATTCATTCCACAAATATTCATCATAGGTCTACTAAGCACTGTTTACTGTTGTAGGTGTTGGGGGTGGGTGGGGAGAGGTGTGGTATGGTGAGAAAGTGTATAGCAGTTATGTGGCAAGAACCACTCTTCAAATTTGAGGGACACAGAAATGGGGCCAACCTTCCCTATGAGATTGGACTGTGGAAAGTAGGAGAAATTGTGGCTACTGACTTGCTGGCGGTCGCCATGGGATGAGATGTAAGGCAAAGAGGAAAATGTCATGAGACTAAGGACATCAGCCAGAATGACAGCCCCCAAATCTCCTGTCAACCTATAAGGAAGAAGCTGAGGCAAAATGACTACAAGTAGAGAGTTTATTATAAGCTTGAGGATTGCAACTCAGGAGCATAGATTCAAGTTGCCCTAAATAGACACTCTGATTAGTAGCAGTTACAAGTGGATTTTTATAGGAAAAGAAGAGGCAGTTCCTGAGTTATTTACCAAGAATTTACATTAAAATAACATAAGCTATTGACTGACTATATATTGTTAAACTATAGGGTATGTGTTAGAGTGTCCAGTACAACATTATTAGGTTAATTTATAGCTACTTGTGTGGCAACAGCAAGCAGTGTCAAGAGATGATTACCTAGCTCAAAGGAGGGAGGCGTAGGATGTGATCCTGTCATTTTATTCTTTTTTTTTTTTTTTTTTTTGAGACCAAGACTCACTCTCTTGCCCTGGCTGGAGGGCAGTGGCACAATCTTGACTCACTGCAACCTCTGCCTCCCAGGTTCAAGTGATTTTCCTGCCTCAGCCTCCCAAATCGTTGGGATTACAGGCATGCACCACCACGTCCAGCTATTGTTTGTAGTTTTAGTAGAGATGAGGTTTCAACATGATGGCCAGGCTATTCTCCTGACTTTCTGCCTGCCTTGGCCTCCCAAAGTGCTGGAATTACAGGCGTGAA